TATATTCCAGAGGTTAAGGAATTTGAAAGAGCCATTGTAAATGAAAAATGATGACTAAAGAGAAATAAAATGAAACTTTTTTAACATGAAAATATATACATACTAAACAAAACGCAATAGAGTCAGTTTCCATGAAAGTCAAGAATAAGATTAGGATGGGCTCTGTACCCTTAATAAAATTGTTCTATGGGGTCCAGTCAACGCAATAGGACAAATTTTGCAAAGAAAGAGACAGAATAATCATTATTTGAAGATGATATGATGTTTATTTAGAAAATCCAAGAGAATTATCCAAGGAACTATTGGAATTAAAATAATTCAGTCAAGTTGCCTGATAAAATATAAATACATAGAAAAAATAGTTTATTTATATGTTAGCAATAACAAATTAGAAAATGAAATGAAAAAATTTGATTCACAAAGCAAGCAGGTTAATATATGTGAAGCACTGGCAGAGTTCCTAGTTCATAAGAGGTTATATAAATATGCTGTAATAATAATAATAATACTGATTTTATAGATTCCAAGAGGTGAAATTAAGATTTGAATTCCAAAACAAAAGATATATTTGTAAGATTCTTGATATATATATATATTCAAATTATTCTTTAACTGTTTAATTCAAGTATAATATACATATAGAACTCTGGTAATCAGTATCCAGATGAAGAAATAGAACATTGCCATCACCCCCAAAGTCCTTTGCATGTCCTCTTAGTCCCTAGTTATCTTCCTCCTAAGGGTATTTCTGACTTCTGACAACACAGACTATTTTTTTCTGTTTTGTATGTCATATGAATGTAATCATATATATGTACTCTTTTGTGTCTGGCTTCTTTAGCTCAGCATTACGTTTACAAGATGTACCCATATTGCTTGTGTGCTTGTGCATTATTCATATTGCTGCACAGTATTTTATTGTATGAATGTACCACAGTTTTCCATTCTTCTGTTGATGAGCAATCGGGTTGTTTTCCATCTGAGGCTATTATAAAAAGTGCTGCTGTGAGCACTGTAACATATGTCTTTTGGTGGACATGGGGACGTTTTCCCATTGCATACATACCCAGAGTGAGAAGAGCATGTGTTCATTGAGCTCTAGCGGATAGTGCCAGGAAGTTTTTCAAAATGCTTATATCAATTTACACTCTGACAGAGGTGTGTGAGAGTTCCAGTTGCTCCACATACTTACCAACATTTTTTCATTTGAGCCATTCGGGTAGGCATGTAGTGATACTGCGTAATGGTTTTAGTTTGCATTTCCCTGATGACTAATGAGTTTGAGCACCTTTTTATGTTTATTGGCCATTTTGATTATCTTGCAAAGTGCTAATCAAGGACTTTGCTCATTTTTTTATTTTCTCTCTTTCCTATTGATTTCTAAGAGTTCTTTATATATTCTTGTTAGAAGTCCCATGTTGGATATACATATTTCCATATGTATATCTAATTCCTTAGATTGCCTTTTTACTCTCTCAATGGTGTCTTCTAGTGAACAGAAGTATTGTTTTTAAAAAAAATCTTGGCCTACTTCAAGGTCACAAAGATGTTGCTCTCTGTTTTCTTTTAACCAAATTGCTTTTTTTTTCAGTGCCATCAAATTATTTTAAGATCTTTTTTCCCATGACTGAACAAAAATAATGGAAGTAATATATTCTTCTACAGTAAAGATAGTTGGAATATATAAAAATCCACTTGAATTTTTGTTAAATAGTCCTCCAGAGCAACTTGAAGAAATACAGGAAAGGTTTTCACAAAAACACTTTTATAGAGGGACCTAGCATGCTTTTATTGCAAGTGTGCCTGACTAACAATGACATACATTATGTCTTTCATATTTTTGTCTTGGTTATTCCAAAGAAAATCCTCTTGTGAAACACTGTGTGTTGTATTTGCTAAATATACAAATATCCAAGGGAAGGCACACCTTTCTTCCGCTACCATGATAAGGCATTGCTCTCAAGCATGTGACAATGCCCTGTGTTTTCCAAGTGTGGCTAATGGCACGATCTGCTTGAAGATCCTTTATACTCAATATTTCTAGTGTTAAATAAAGAGGAGAGTTCTGTGTGTTTCTGCATAATTTTCCAGTTCGGGATATTATATGTTTAGTCATCCAAATTTTTTTCTCCCTCATCAATGATTTTCATAAGCCCATCTTTTATTCAATTGATGTTTTTCAAAGCTGCTTCCCATCCACTTTTTTTCTCAGTCCCCTGGCTTTCTATCCTTCCTGGGGCTCTGTGAAGTCAGTCTGGGGCCCAATGGGGCCTGCCTCTGCTGGGCACAGCCACAGGCTGATGTGGTGTACTGTCACAGTATATTTCATCCACATTTTTTTCCAAAACTGCATTCACATTAGTCCAGTTGTTTTCTCAGAGAGAGAGTCCTTCACCAGCCTGGCCGGTTCCCCACTGAAGGGCCTCAGTGCAAAAGCAAAGCTCTGGGATTCTGCAGGGGGGATAAATAGCCTTCATAATCTCATTTCCAGGGCAGTTCCACATAGTGTCACATCAGTGCCTGAGGCAGTCAACCCTCCAGCCTCAGCTGTGCTTCACCTGGACCGTGCAGGCTCAGGGAACTACCATATTTGCCCACTGGCTCTGGGGTGGCCCACCACAGCACAGGCTGATGACCCCATATTCCTTTTTAAAGTAGATGAATGGCAAAATACACAGTCACCAAATATGAATAAATTGCTTGTTTCACTACACACATCCAGGCCCTAGCAACTTCCCAACTGGCCAGAATACCCTATCTTTTGGTAGAATGTAATTGGCCTTTAAGTAGGCTTGAGTGGTGTCTGACCTATTTCTTTAATAAGTAGACAGTTGCATCATTTACCAAATTGGACACTGTTCACAGAATGATCTGTCACTCCACACTACACTAATATCATCTCTTTGTTCAGTGGTAGTAATGAAGTGGGGAGGGGGGGTGGACACATCTTAACATGAGTATTTCATCTGTCTCAGGGTGGCCTGTGGTAAGGCCATGCTCAAGCAAACTTGGAAAGACAGTTTAAAAATAATAACGGATAGCATTTGCTGAGCACTTATTAAGACCCTGTGCCAAGAGCTTAATGTGTATTATCTCAGCTAATCTTCACAAAAATTCTGTGAGGTTGGAATGATTACACTGAGGTTCAGTGAGGTTAAGAAAATTTCCGAAAGGAACCTAGGCATTAAGTGTTGGAACTGAGTAAGTGCTAGAACCAGGACTGAAATGCAGAAGGCAGACTGCATCTAGCTTTCTAGCCATGCATGTATATCTAACATTCATTCCGTACAAACCAATTTTCTGTAGATGCAAAAGTGTTCCCAGTAGAGCTAGAGTATTGTAGCAATCCAAAGCTCACAATATAATTGCATAATGTAGTATAAAAGACTGTGATCTAGCCCTTACTTTTATCTGCAACCTTCAACATTTATCTTAGATTTTGTGCCTAGAAGAACCATACTACGCTGCCCTGACAACTTAATGCTTTCATGGCTTCCTGTCTTCAGACATACTATTCTCTTTGCCTCAAATACCCTTCCACCTTGATTACCTGGCAAATTCCTTTAAAACCCAGCTAAGACATCACACCTTCCAGTAAACTTCCCCTAATTTTCTGACATTGTTAATCATTCAGTCCTCTATATCAACCTTTGTCCTTTTGACAAAGCTGTATTGCCCACTCATTCATTCAACATGAACATTCTTTCCAGACACTAGGCTACATACTGGGAGAGGGAGAGTCAAATAACACTTTTGCAGCAGGAGGACCATGTGCTAAAGCATGGACATAAACTAGCTACTGCCAATAGTTCCTACCATCTGACAAGTGGGTGGGTGAGGAGAAAAGTGTGATAGGGCATCTGATTCAGCCCAAATCTAGGAATCAGAGCTTTTCTGTTTGTGGAAATTAAGAGCTGGTAATCCAGCTGGGAATGTATATGAATCAGTGTTCTTGCTGTGGAAAAGGGTGGCATCTGTTCACCATCTTGGATTGATTTTGAGTCTTTATGGGGAGAGGATTTAGGACCATCACTGAGAGTGTTGTTTGAAAAAAAGATGTTAAGATATTGTGGGCACAAGCTGTGGGACCAGGGAAAGGCTGTTCTCCTCGCTTCCACATAACACCAAACCCGGATGTAGTATCTTGAGTGGTAGCTTTCAGCACACTGGCTGGTAGCCCATTGGGCTGGGGATACTGGCGTTTTCACTGCGGGCCTCATCAGCAGGGGCAGTGCAATGGCTTCGTGAGCAGAGGGCAGTAAAGAGAGGAAACAAGAGCAAGAAAGGAAAGAAGGGCGAATGCTGCGCGGAGAACAGTGGTGGACAGACCGGTTCATGAACCTATTGAGATGCACCTGCGCCCTTCCACTTGGAGTCGGGGCAAAAGCATGAATTCTGGGCAACTGCGAATCATAAACTATAACTACAGTTACTGAGTTCTGGGGACATCTGAGTTAACTTTTTCTTTTGCTCTTACAGAATTGTGTCTTACTCTTCTCTGTATCACAGGACCTAACTAACACAAAGCCTGACACAGCAACGCTGACAAAATATTTGTGCACTTACTTAATAAAGGAGCTGGGAGGAGTCAGAGAAGAGAGGGTGGGAGCATCATACATATATGAGCCGAAAAGGTGATGACTTCATTCTGCCCAGGTCTGGAATAGGAAACAGAGATGGGATCTGTGCTATGAGTTCTGGCCCCTTTTGATTCTGTCAGCATGTCAGTTACTGAGACCAATTCCATGGCAGTTAGAAGGGGAACAGATTGCCAAGGCGGAGAGGAGGGGACAATTGGTCTTGACCTTCCTGAGGTTCCCAAAATTAAGGGGAACCGAAAATATCAAAGGGTGAGGAGGTACCTAATTATAGGTCAGAGGGGAGGAAGAAGGCTGTAGGCGGGGGTAGACAGTGTCCTAAAGATAAACATCACCCTGAAAACTTGTTTTTTTATAGAAGGGGTAGGGAAAACGATCTACAACTTAAACCGACATGGGGATACTTGAGGCAGAGAAGAGTAGGAGATCCTGGGGATCAAGGGTTGCCTTTTCGAGTAGGCAATGTTTCCCTCATCCTTGTAGCCTGCCCTCCCTACCAACAAACATCCGACTGCCTCGATGCCATCCCAGAGGCAGCAGGAGCACGTGGATCAGACACGCGCCTACCTCCGAATGTTCTGTGGCAGCCTATGTGGTTTTAGCCTCCTGGTGCTAATCTGCGTGTCCCCACTGAGCTGGGTGCAGTTCCTGGTGATCAAGAATGGCCTTGAGCTTCAAGCGGGACTCTGGACTTCATGCAACCACGAGCTGTGCTGGAGCCATGCACCCAAGCCACCATGTGAGTGCCACTAAATTAAATGCCACAGGCCCCCTGTTCCAGAGCTTTCTGTTGCACTGGCCTTTTACCTTTCTTCCTCCAAGATCTTTTGGTCTTCACCGCTCCCAGTCCAGGATGGCTCTCAGCCAGACTGTGAATGTAGCCATCCCTTCCTTCGGTGTCCTCAGTGTACCCTTTCTCCCTCCTACCCCAAAATGTTCCCTGCCTCAAAGTAGGAGGTGATCCTCTCTTTACTCTCTGGGAAGAACTCTATTGTCATTTATAAGCTGTACTGTGAAGCACTGTGATTTTATTCTAATGTGGCTTGCAGAAATAGAAGAGAAGCGATCCATCAAAGCTGGGACGTAAAGCAAAGTGTCTCAACATTGATCAGGTTTAACTTTTCAGGTCAGCTTGTTCTTCTGCTAACTGTCAAAGATAATTTAAATACGTATCAGATATGTAGTATAACAGCTGCTGACTATTTAGAGTATATCATTAATGTCAAATTTTAGGTGAATTTAAGTAAATCTGTAAAGGCAACACAAAATATTTAAAAATAAGTTTCTAGATCTAGAAGATACCATATGGAAGTTTTTCAATCAGAACCAAGACTGAGAGGAAAGACATAACTACATTAAGTGGTTTCCCAACTATCCACAAGAAATAGGTTTACACAAAGCAACAGGCATTGTGAAAGAAAACACATGTAACTAAGATGTTTATTTCTCCTTCTCACATAAGCCGTGCTCCCAGATGCTGTGGGGGACGTCCCTAGGTTCAGCCTTGAGGTAGAACATTAGTCATCTGGCCACCGTCTGTGGCATTTGGACCTAAGGGGCAGGACCCCAAAGCAAGATCTTGGGAAGAAACTAATATCAAAGACAGGCACACAATTCAACTGCATCTGCAACTAAAAAGAAAAACCAGAGAAAATGTTTGCAACAAATATGAAAGATAAAAAGTTAATGGCATTAATATATAAAAATGATTAATTTTATAGAAAAAGACAAAAAGCCAAATAAACAAATTCTTTATAAACAGAGAATTCACAAAGTAGAAACTACAAATGTCTAATATACATAGGAAAAACTACTTTAAACTCAATCGTTAATGAAAGGCAAATCAAATGGACAATAAGAATTTTTCAACCATGACATTAACAGATTTTTAACTGATAATGTACAATGCTGTACACTTCATACACACTGAGGACCAAGGAAATGGGTATAACCAAAGCAATATGATTATGTGTATTGAGATTTACACACTCACTAATCCATTTCTAGAAGAATGGAGTAAAAATATATATAGACATAAAAATCAGTTGGCGATTATATTTATGTAACCATGTGCCCATGCTAAAATTCAGGACTTGAGATTATTTATTAAATCCTTAGTGAGTTAGGATCTTAAAATTTTGTCACTTTTCAAGTAGCAAGTAGTTTATTTCTTGGAGCCTTGAATTCACTCTCTAAACTTGAATGGTTTAGAGAAAGTCAGCTAAGGGACTCCTTTAAGTACAACATTATAAGTCAGGTATCCACCCTATTTCTACACCATTCCAAGTTTCTGCCCTGGACTTGCTTCAGGTCATAGTGCCCCTGAACCTACTTCACCTGGTTTTAAAGAACTGAGAGCCTTTCTGCTGCAGCTGTTGCTAGTGGGGTGAAGAAGGGGTGGGCAGCAGAGGACACTTCACTTTGACTCCGAGGTCTCAGGTGCGGAGCAGACCTTCTGTTAGTACCCCCGCCAGCACAGGGGAGATCAGACCCTAATGGAAAGAAATGTGTTGCCACGGAGAGTCACTTGAACCTGTTTTGCAGAGTGGGTGGGGAGAAAGGGAGGGTCTTAGAGTTCAGGCCCTGGGCTCTAGAGATCTGGGGCCTCGGAACCACCACAAAATAAACACCACCAAGCTGTGTGGGATGCTTTATTCTGGCCCTCCAGCGGGGTTGCCCAGGTACTAAACACTAAGCAGATTTCACAAGCTCCTCCGGAGTGCTAGGTCCCCATCCAGGATCTTTCCATTCCAAAACTACCTTCCTTGCACATTTCCCTTGAATCTGGGGAAGTTTTGTCCTGGCTTTATGCGCCTAGAGAGCGCAATGGCAGCAGCGTGCAGGTTTAGATTTGGCTGTGCATTAAGTGGGCTGATTCCCCAGCTTGTCTCCAATAGCACCTTTTTCATCTTCAAAATCAATATCCACACCCTACCTCTACCCACTCAGTCTAGCTCCCCATCGTTAAGAGGAGCACTTCTCCCTGCCCTGGCTTTGATTTTTGCTGAAGGGCCTAGGGTGTCCCACCATCAAATCTCTTTGGAACAGCTGAGTACCAGGTGCTTAGCTTTATTACGGCTGGCTTCTCTCCTCTACAACTTTCTTCTCGTGTTGTCTTGGCCCCCCCACTGCTTCCTCCCAGGTGCTAACAGCAGTAAAGGAGAAGAGCATCTAGTGTTAACCCAGTCTGTTTGTTCATAATGTTACTGGAGATGGGTCCTTGGTCTGGTTGGGAGAAAGAATTCAAGAACAGACACAGAAAAGCTGAGTAGCATTAAGGGTTTATTTGGAAATTTAAAATTCAGAGAAAGGCAAGAGCACGTCAGAGGGTGGTGTGGGGGGGCCAGACCCAGAGGGGGGTTCCGCCAGAGAACAATAGGGAGCCTTTTTTATATGAAGGGAGATGGATATTCACGGAATGAGATCAAGTTTCAAAGGGGGACAGGTGCGGTCTTCCTGGAGTTCAGGCCTGCTCCGCCCTTCCTTTGCTGGCGCGAGGGATTTTTTACTGTATCTGTCATGGCTTGGGGAGGTGGGATTTTTACTATGCTAATAACAGAGAGGTGTAATTTTTACTATGGTGATACCTTTTGAGGTGAAGATTTGGTCAACTTCTCCTCAGTGTTGGAACCAGCCAGTTTTGGCCAGTCTGTTTTCTATAGCCTGACTCCACATCACGCAGGAAGAGCTTACACAGAATGTGTAGAATATAAGCAAGCATCCAGCCGATGTAAACACCAGCCAAAGTCCACCTCCCCCTTCCCTGCTCGTGTCTGGCTCTCTACCGACCACAACAGTAAGGGTGGGGTGGCATATAGCCCTAACTCACTCACTTTCCAAAACCAAAGCTTTACTTTCCTAACAGTAAAAGGGGATCCTGCCCATCAGTCACGGACTGCCAAATGGTGAATGTTCCCAGTTTACTGAGAACAGGGAAACACTACTGCTTTCGGGTTGGTTTCTTGCAGTGCTGGTAGCTTTTACATCGTACCTGATGGTGCTCTGAAGTGCTGGATCACTGGCTGGGGTGATCCTGAGAACACGGCAAGGATCTCACCAAGTTTTTCAAATGGTTTGGACTTCTTCCTCTCCAAATGGCAGGTGACGTCCTCTTCCCATGGCATTAGCTCCATTGCCTTCAGGAAACGGGGAGGCTTGTCTTGCTATTCTTGCAATCTAAGCTCACATCAAAGCCTTTCATTAAGCAGGCTTGGATAACAGAAATGTTTGGATGCAGGGGACCCACACAGCTGCTCCTTATGTCTTGCGCACTCCTTGCTCCCTGGATCAAGGCTTCTTACTGACACAAGTAGGGCCTTTGGTAACTTAGGTTCTAAGATTTTTGAAATTTTGATGGGTCAGCAGTTGTAAAAACTCATTAAAAGCTGAAGTAGGTTTTGTTATTGCTGGAGATGGAGGCTTGAAGTCAGTTTTAGGACCTTTGTTCTGTTAAATGAATTTAAAAATTATGAAGTCAACCAAATGCAGCTGTTTTGATTCTGAAGCAAAGTGCTTGGTTTGGTTAGATAATTCGTTGTGTACATTATGACTACGAGACTTGGTTCCTTCGAGATTTCCTTTGAGGATATAGATAGGAGCTTGAAATAATTACAGTACAGGAGTTAAAGTAAATGTAACTTGATTTTGTAGTCACAGGCTGACAAGGCCTGTAAATGTCAGATACATTGAAAAGAGAAAAAACAAATAGAAACCAAGTCCAAAGGAACATAATTCTATACTGCAAATCTTTCCTTTGCAAGTTGCTCCTTTGAAGTTGTGAGAGATCTTGTTTATTAGTTTTAGGAAATGAGGGGCTAAGGTACAGAAGGTTGTAAGAAGAACATGGAATCACAGTTTTCCCCTCATGGTAGAAGAGAGAGTGGACTGTAACATATTCTAGACAGGAGTCGGACTGATACCCTAGTGTGCTTTTGTGTTATCAGAAACCATTTGAACTAGCATAAGGTGAAGAGTGAACTTATTTATAAAGATCCCTAAGAATTTCATGGACTCCCAAAGGCAGGAGGTTTGTTGGACCTTAGAGGATTCCAGATGGCACTGGGACCTCAGATGACGAAAATCAAGCCAGCCAGTCCCTCAGGGTCTCTGGCGTGGCTTCGTCACTGATCGTTGTTCATGCTTTGGTTTATCTCTGTAGCTCAGTTTTCCTGTTTATTAGTGTGTTACATGCCCAAAAAGGGATATCCTAGTTTAGCTTGTATCTTCTTGGTTTAAGCAAGCAAAAGAGGAAATTAGTATCATTAGTCCCAAATCCAAATTTTTAAGCAGAAGAATCAAATTGGTCCAACATGGGTCAGATTGCCTTCCTAGATCCAATTAGCCGCAGTCAGGCAGCTACAGGCAAAGGTCTGTATATACAGGGCCTGAGGGGGATTGTGAGCTAATGCCGTAAAAGATGCCTGTCACCCTGGGCTTCGCGGAGCTCAGTCCGGGCTCATGGCTCTGACTGGCTACATATACTGCCAATTCGGAATGACCCAGTTTTCAGAAAATGTGCTACTCTTGGGTTATCATGTTTAAATATGATAAATATGGCTAACTTGTTAAAGTCACAGAGTAACCTCCCTCTGTGGGTAAGGGTGTAGTTTCTCTTCCTAGAAATTACTAATTTTGATTATGTTAGCAAGTGGTAATTTCTAGAGAACAAAATAAAACTTGGACTGGGATAAGAAGATAATTCCTTCTCTTTGGGTTACTTGGCCTCTGGACTTGGGTTCTTAGGCGTAGAAGTGCTTAGAGAACTTTCATTGGCAGAGATGAGCTGGCCCCTGCTACACTGAGACAGGAAAGAAGCTAGACAAGGAGGCACCCAATAAAGGGTATTAAAGATATTGCTGGGTCTTGATATCTCTGAAAAGCTATATCAACTTGCAGTTGTAAGTTATCCTCTATTTCTTAAAACATTACCGGGGAAGTCAAGGGAAGGATTTGTTCCATATTAGGGATGTGGTAGCAAACGGTAAGGTTTAGCACATTCCTTCTTATCTCCTACAAACATCCAGTCTGCAGTGGCAGAGTCGGAGGAGCAGAGATCTAGGACCAGGAGATGAGGGAAGAAGGGGTGTGAGGCACCTGCAGAAGAGCTCTGGAGCAGAGGAACTTCAGCAGTCCTCTCCTTGAACAAACATGAGGGGGACCTTGAGGGATTCTCGAGGAAAAAAAAGGGATATTTTTGGGGTGTTAAATCCTTGTAATCCAGTAAATCAGGGCTTGAAATCATTATAAGATAGGAGTTAAAGTAAATGTGACTTCATTATGTAGACACAAGCTGACAAGGCCTCTACATGCCAGGTATATTTGAAAGAAAAAAAAATTAGAAACAAATTCGAAGTCCAACAATGGTTCAGTTATTACGCAAGGTATGTTAATATGCTAGATTATTTTGGAGCCATTAAAAATGATGTTTACAACAGGCTATCTGGGAAAAATCTTACCATATAATCTTAAGAAAACAATCACAATATTCAGTATCATATATGCAATGTGCAGTGGATAGAAAAATAGTGCAAAGAAACAACTAAAATGTTAACAGTGGTTGCCAATGGTTAACTCAGGAGTGGGATTGTGGCTGATTTTCTTCCTGCTTTTTGGTACTTTTGTGGTGCTTCCAGTGCTTATATTGAACATGTATTACTTCTAGAATTAGAATTAGAAACAAAAGTTTTAATCTGTGTTGTAATGAGTCACACCTCTTACAAGCTAGTTTACATCTGAGTTAATGTGTTAATGCACTGAGAATTATTTGTATATTATCTTTAGTTTCACCATGAAGGCTATGCCTTCATAGTAAAGAAATGCCAAGTTATCAATAAAGAGCTGGAAAGAAGACCTTCATTTGTGTCCTGGATGCCACGTGGTATAGAGGGACAAAGACGCAGTTCAGCTTCATTCTCCACGGTCCTCACTCCCTTCTCCAAGTCTCTGTGAATTCTGGTTTTCTTAAGAGGGATTCCCCCCTGGGCCGACCAACCTCTCCTTTCTCCTTCTCCTCGGCAGATTACCTCCAGTATTCCAGGGCCTCCTTCCTCCTCTCTGTCCTCACCATACTCATCGCCCTTGCCTGGCTCTTTGGCTCTTGCCTCCCTGGAAGAGGAAGCGCGACTGCTCACTTGGATCTGAAGGTCTCCATGCTCAGCTTCAGCTCAGGTACAGGACCAGCCTGCCGGGGGGACCGGGTCCGACTGCTGAGGGAGCCAAGTGTCTCTGAAGGCCTTCCACCCTCTTTTTCTGGTGTCTCTCCTAGTCCTCAGTATCATATCGAGTTGCCAGATACCTGCCCTATCTTACTGTATAAAACATACTTTGGCTGACTTATGCCCGGGGAGAGGCAGTGTCTTTCTCTTGTCTATCTTGATGAACCCCCAAATTTTGATCTTTTGGCATTTGGAAGCAGAAGAAGAGTAAGGGGTAGCAGTTAGGGCAGACTGAAGACACTGATGGTCTGTGACATCTTTTCTTCCGGTCCTAGCCATCTGCTTGCTCTTCTGCCTCGTCCTATTTCTGGCACAAATTCGCGGGCATACGAGGGATACCATGGATTCAGATCTCCTGTGGACCTATCATCTTAACTGGTGGGGTGTCTTCTTATACATATTTGCTGGTGAGTCAGTCCCTTACCTTATGCTAAAAGGATGGGGGGGAATCACTTCTTAAAAGGGAGGTGAAATCTAAGAGAAATAGAAGCACTAACTACTCCTATGCAGAACATTTATCTGTTGAAAGGCAGTGTGGTATGGTGAAGAAAGCATGGATTTTGGAGTCTAAAAACCTAGAATTATTAACCTGTCCCACCACTAACTGAGGCATGGACACCTTGTGTCTTGCCTAAGACCACACGGAAAGCGGTGGAACTACAATTTGAATCCAGGAGGTTCAAACTTTGTCCAAACCATGTGAGAAATATTATAATGCAATGGGAGCAAAGGAGAGCAAAGTAACTCTGCTGTGGGAGAGGTGGGTTGGGTTCACTGAGAAGAAGCCTTTGAACTGCATTTTTAAAGGATGCATAAGACTTTTAAAAGCCAAAAGACCATCTGTCTGTTAGAGCTCACCTTAAATTCTTCTCTTCTCCTAGGGATCATCTCCTTCCTCAACTACATAACTTCCAGATCTCCTCCCCTTGATCAAAATGCCACTGTGATTCCCACAGAGAAGTCAAGGCTGGGGATTGGCCCAGTTCCTACAGCATTGCCTGCTGAAGATGAGGGTCAAAGTCTGAGACAGTCTCCTAACATGGAAGAGAAAAACCTACCAAATGCAGAATTATGATGGGGATAGGAAATGCCAACTATTGTCTGTCTTAAAAATGGTGGAGGAGCTAACTGAGTTGAGAATATTGTGCGGGTTCTAGGAAACCCTTCTAACATCATGTTCATATTACTGAAGGAGAGAGCATTAAAGCTGTTGAAATGTCCTTTGTGTGCATTTGGTCCAAAATATATATGACAGTCATAAAGAAAGTAAAGAAACTCACTTAATAATAAAAAATTTCTAAAAGAAAACATTAGTATTTAGGGCCATATAGATGCAGTGTGTGGATCAGAGATCTCTTTGGGCATCAGGGATCTTGTGGATCAGAATGGTCCGTAAGAAAAATGTCACTTAATTGTGTTTTGAATTTTTCTTTATTATGTGTGATTTGGGGCACACTCAAGATAGAGGGCACTTGGACAATTTGTGGAATCTGACTGGAGACCATTATCAGAAATGGAATGCACACCAGTGGAGATAATAACTACCACCCAAACAAACTGATAGGGGCTGGGGGTGTTCTGGGGAATCTATGAGGTACAACTTCCTATGAGGATTGGTAATTTGAAACCCTTAGAGTCTATTATGTGAGCCCATTGCTTCTCCCTAGGCTGGGAGAGACCTTAACCAGGTATTTAAAAACTGTCTGAAATTCTATACAAAACTTGTACATGCACTTTTCTGTAAAGAGGGCAAAAGACTCCACCAGATTCTCGACAGGCCTGTGACTCTTGCTTCCTTACGTATCAGTTACAATTTACTGAGCCAAGTGGGGATAACAGGCTTTTTTTCCCACCTAAATGTATACATGTGGACCAAGTTAAAAGATTTTTAACTTACCCTGTAAGACTAAGTAGGGGATGGGGGCTCCAGGCAATCTCATAGATCTTCTGATGACTAAAAATCCCTTTTAAATCCAGGCCAGATTCCATGCCAAAAGTAGCTGATATTCATTTTGTCCTTTATTCCTTTAGTAGCTGCCACTACTAGTCTATTAGCTGAGGTCCATTCTTCTCCTCCCCAAGCCTGTAATGGAATGGACTATAGTGTCCAGCTTCATCCCTTCCTGCTGTTAAAGATAAGCCCTTCGGTCCTTTGTGTTTAATTTAGAGATTCACTAGTAATCCTTTGTAGAAAACAAATATTACAGACATGGAGCACTTCTGTAGTTTCTTATAAACGTGGTCTCTGACCAGTAGCTCCCATGCATTTCCAGATGGAAACTGGTAGCCCATTAGGTTAATATTTCTGCCATATGCATGTGTGCACCCACACACAGAGACAAGTGGACAAACACACATAATATATACATGTGCCCAGCTTTGACCCTGCCTTAGAAAACCTCTTCTCCATGTCAGTGTCTCTTTCTATCAGGTGATCTTAGTTAGTTATGACAGAATGACTGGTTCTTCCTTACTTCAAGTGGCCCCATTTCAGAGGCTTTTCAAGCTATTCCTGAGTCTTTGTCTGGTTGTAAGAATAGGCATGTAGTCAAGACAAAACTCCCTATCATTGTCACCATTCACACACTGAGAATACCCCACACGTTGACTAATTAAGGACTCACTAGTTTCATACGCTTTATTTATAATTCAGCCTGAATACTTTAACTATATGACTAAATTGAGCTAAGTACTAATGACTCTTCAGGGAAGGGAAGTTTTAAGTGGGGTGAGGAGAAGGAAGCAGGTCTGATGAGAGTGGAAGGTGTTAGACACTAAGAAGGCTGCAATAAGTGCCCTGGCTATTAGGGGAGAACAGACAGTAATTTTAGCTAAATTTTCTACTTCACTAGCGGAGGCTGATCTTATAAGCAGAGGGAACCTTCCATTGCTCCTTTAGAAACTGAATTTTCTCTCCATTTTCTCCTTTCTTCCTTTGCATGTAGAGAATTTTTTTAAAAGATTAAATGAATTTCCAATAAGATAGCTTAGTAAACTTGACACATCCCCTCTTCTCAAAATATACTGCATGATAGATGAAAGAGAGAGAGAGAGAGAGAGAGAGAGAGAGAGGTCAAAACAAGACAAGCATTTCCAGAGACCAGAAAAATAACAACATCACAAGGCTTTGATTTGAGTTAAGTCATAGACTCAATGGGCTTTAAGTCTGAAAATAAGCAGAGGTGAACAGGAAGATAGCTCCTGTGGAGTGAAAAAGACTAAAAGTGCTTCTCAAAACACAGACTAGAGCCAGGTTCACAGTCTGAGCTCAAACTAGGCACTTGTAAAAGGAAGCTGAACAAAAACTGCCAAGTACTGACTGGGGCTGTATCTTATTTGGAACTACATACCCAAAGAGGTAAAAGAACAAAAATACAACCTTGCTTAACCAAACCACCCACTGGCTCATCAACTGGGTTTGCAAGATTCCCTGAGAGCAAAACAAAGTACAAAATCTGAAATACCATGTTATGAGAGTTGATTGTGGACTGGGGCCTTTGGCCAAAGTAAGAGAACCCCAAAACTAGTGGATGGAATGAGTACTGAGGGAGAAAAAGCAACAAAAATCGTTTTGTGCCTGTAAACAGGAATTCCTATGTGACTGCAAATAGGAATTCCAAACATGGGAAGAAATGTTTAGAATATGAATTTATTTCAGATTAATTTAGGATATATTATGACAAAAATGAGTATTTTTAGGATACTCAAAGCAATATATGACAGAATCATAGAAATAAAGTAAGAATAGGTTGAAATGAAAAAGAACCAATTAGGAATCATGGAAATGAAAAATATAGTCATGAAATAAAAAATTCATCAGGAAAAATGTAGATCATATACTCAACAAATAGAAAATATTTTACTTACAGATATATCTGGAATGTTTGTAAAAATTGACCAAATACTATGTCTGAAAGAAAGTTTCAGTAAATTTCAAAAGCTATCAATAAGTGTGTTTCCTAACCACAATACATTAAATTAGAATTCAATAAAAAGAGAGTGAGTTTTTAAAATTCTCTATATTTTTAAGAGCTAAAAAATGTTCCCTAAAAAATCATGGATAAAAAGGACATCACAGTGGAAATGACAAAATATTTAGAACTAAACAACAGTAAAGAATTACTACAATCAAAACCTATAGGTGCATTTATTTAAAACAAAACAAAAAGCAGAAAATAGTTTAAAATAAATGATTATAATTTACACTCATGAACCTGAAAAAGAACAACTAGAGAAACCAAAAGGAGAAGAAAGAGAAAATTTAAAGTAAACATTAGTAAAATATGAAGAAGTCTTTAGGTTCAAACAATAACCTAAAATCTAGTTCTTTGGGGAAAAAACATCAAATAAAAGACAAATTACAAGCAAATTTAATTAAGAGAAAAAAGAAAAAACATTTAAAAATAATATAGTAATGAAAAGGCGGGCATAATAAAATGTATATATTTTTATATATATGTTAAGCACATTTTGTTGTTTTAAATTTGTTTCCTTACTATTCCTTGTGTTATGCTTCTCTGTGTTAAAATCTTCCATGATGGTTTTAAATTTTTCCAATTTTTCCTTGTAATCATATAAGTGTCTACTTAATATTTTGAACCAAAAAGATATTAAATATCCAAATTAATCTGTGTGTTCAATGTAACACAAAATCTGACAGAACTTTTTTTGTGGAGAATGACAAGTAGATGCTAAAATACAGGAGAGTTAATTATTTTTTGCAGCAAAGGATCAAAAAAGAGTCACTCTGAAAAATAAGATGATGGAGAGATTTACCCTACCTGACATGGAGATGACTTATCAAGCTATTGTAATCGAGACAGTGTGGTACTGGCACAGGTTTAAAGAAACAAATGGAACAGAACTCGTAGGTACATACAGATGTGGCAATTTGATGTATTACAGTGGTAGCGTTGAAACAAATGAACGAGGAAACTGGACTGTTCAACTAGCAGGGCCGGTTAAACTGGTTAAATAGGGAAAAAACAGAAAACTACATCCTGTAAATAAAAATACACACCCTTCCTTATTGTAAATTGGATCATGGTTTTCAACTCTTTATTTACTCACCCCTCCATGTTAGAATTATACATCCATGCTCTCACCATGTGACTCTGCAAAGCCTCACACTATCGCTGGTGGGATATATTTCTCTGCTCCACTGGGCATAGCATGTGGCATGCTTTGGCTAATGGAATGTAAGCAGAGGTGACCACGACAATTCTGAGTTGAGGACTTAAAAGGCATTGTGTATTTCTACTCACCTCTCTTGTGTGTCTGTCACCCACCATGGGAAGAATGTGTCTCAGGCAGGCAATTTGTCCCAGAATAGTGAAGACATGTGAAGCAGGCCTAAACTTGACCTGGAGCCTGGAGTCCAGCCTAGCTGAGCCAAACATAGGTAAACTGAGTCATGATGAGGCAAATTAATCTGATCTACAGACCTATGAGTGAGAAAAATATTTGCTCTTGTAAGCCATTGAGAACATTGAGAGTGTTTATTGTGCAGCATCATTATATTAATAGCTGATCTGATATATCCTTCTAGAATGTAAACTTCAGCACAGCAGGGATTTTGTCGTTTTTTTCACTGCTGTATGCTCAGTGACGAGAACGGTGCTCTGTATGCATAGATGCTTCATAAATATTTGTTGAATTAAGTATAATTAGTGCATTTGTACTAAAGCTATAAAACTATTGGTGATCCCAAAAGGCAAGGCAAGGGTTCAAGTATACAAAGAAATAATTACAGTTGGCTCTGTTATAAATGTAATCAGTCAAAAGCTGACACCAAGATAGAGTGAATGCCATCAGCAATCAAATAGCAAGCTTATTCTTGAACCAGCAATAAATCCTTCGGAAGCCAAAGGATATTGATGAAAGGATCAGAAATAGAAGGTCCTACAGGGACTTCAATAAAATAAATATCTGCTCAAATATTACCGTCACTACTGAGTTAAAGGCTGTTTTCAGGAACAGATGGGCCACACAGAAAGTGTACCACAGAAAAAGTGACATGAGATATTGTCAACTATGAGCTGGCTGGTGGCAAAAAAAGAAGTCAAAGAGGCCTTATGAAAGAGTCCTGTGTGCATAGGTAGATAAAAGAACACATTTTAAAGTGAATGTACCAGAATGTTAATAAGTGGATTTAGGTAAAGGGTTTAGGGTATTCCATTCCATATTCTTGCA